CATTACCTCAGCTTTTTTCTAGTGTTTAGGTGAATTCGGATAGTGACAAATTGCTATGGACAAGTTGGAGAATATGAACCAAAGGAAGATTGACAATTTACCATTAAATCATTTTATGATCTGCTGATGAGTGCTAATGAATCAGGGATGGAGGTTTTCCCATTTATAGATATTTGAAATTCCCAAGCTCCGCAAAGAATTGCTTTTTTTTTGCTTAGGAGGCAGGGAAGGAATGCATCCTGACCGTTGACAACTTGATGAGAAGGGATAGAGTGATGGTTAATAGGTGTTACTTCTATCAGCAAGCGGCTGAGACATGCAACTATCTCCTATTATGGTGTCCTATTGCTTATAACCTATGGTTTATGGTCTTATAGACTCCTGGGAATCAATTGGGTTGAGGTGGACTCACTGAAGGAGGAGATTTGGGCTTGGGAGGGAGGGGGGGTTTGTAAAAAGAAAAAATGTATAAAACTTATTCTTTTGACTATACTTTGGGTGGTATGGGAAAAGAGAAATATTAGAGGTTTTGATGGGGTGGAGAATGATATCTCTAAAATTAAGGATAGATGACTTCATTATTTTGCCTATCTTTTTTTGGGCATGACATGTATAGGGTAGAGGATTTTGGACATGTTTTAGGTAGTCTTACTGATATATAAATATCTTTTGTACATGAGTTGCATCCCCTTAGTGCCATAGCATTTATATACTGTTTTGTACCTTTTATCTAAAAAAAAATGATTGTTAGATGTTGGTTGAGTGCACGGGACAGAGGTGGTGCACGCGTTTGGCAGCTGAGCAAAGGCGCGCAAACAGCTGGGTAGAGGCACGTCGTGCAAGGAGCCGTGGCTAGCTGTGCGTGGAAGAGGAGGTTGGGCGTGAGGCAGAGCAAGCCAGAGGCTTTGCATTGCAGTTTTGGCGGCTGGCAGCTGAGCGGCTCCTTCTGGCTGCTTCTGGCCGTGCAGGTTGGGAGCTAGGGCCAACTTGTGGTGAAGATGGCTGGCCTTGTGGTAGCCGGCAACTAAATTGTAGTGGCCGACAACGAAGGCTAGCCTCTTTTTGGGTTTTCTTTTTGCGGCAATGAAGAATGAATAGGGTTTGTTAAAAGACTTAGATTTTTTAATTTAGAGCTCTAATATCATGTTAACACCGTTTAATTATGTATTTCATTGAATATCACAGATTTATATATATAGGGTTTTTTAGAATAGAAAAGGAAATAAGAATCAATTACATAGGGCATATTTTACCCTTACAAATTTTAACCTACATAAGATACACTCTCTTTAACAGTTCTGAATTGCTAAAAACACCACCTTTTATCTTATTGCATATATCTTCACTCAGTTACAATTTCATTTTCTGCACATTATTTTCATTCGCTCTTTTATGTAATAGAGTTTCTTTTGAAATTTATACTAATCCATTTACTACATTGTAGGTCCCTGAGCTGTTTTACCTTCCTGAAATGTTAACCAATGAAAATTCTGTTGACTTTGGTACGACACAATTGGGAGGAAAGCTTGGTATGAACTTTACACTCTTCTTGTCCTTGTGCCAAGTGAAACAGATATCTGCAATAAGCAAATTAATCTTTCTTCAATATTTGTGTTTGTATTTATATTAGATTCTGTCAAACTTCCTCCTTGGGCTGAAAACCCAGTTGATTTTGTTCATAAGCATCGGATGGCTCTTGAAAGTGAGCATGTATCTGCACATTTGCATGAATGGATTGATCTCATATTCGGGTAGGTCCTATTTTCTTTCTTGAGAAATATCATGTGTTTTGCCAAAATAATTTTATACCTCTTCTTTTTATAACAAAATTTGAAAGTACATTTTCATTATTTTCAGTCTCTGTAAGTTGGTAAACAGAACAACTTCATTTTTTTATAGAAAGAAGTTTTTTTTAATATTAGCCTGGTCCAGTGTCTTTATCAGTGGTATTTATGAGCGAATTGAACATATAGGTATAAGCAACGAGGCAGAGAAGCTATACAAGCAAATAATGTCTTTTTCTATATTACCTACGAAGGGGCAGTGGACATTGATAAGATCTCAGATCCAGTAAGTTCTGTTATTCTATGCTATGTTGAAGTCGGGAATTGGTCCTTTTCTGCCACTTACATATTTAAATATGTATGCAAAAGGTACAACAACGTGCTACACAAGATCAAATTGCTTATTTTGGACAAACACCATCCCAACTTCTGACTGTCCCTCACATGAAGAAGATGCCATTAGCAGATGTCCTTCATCTGCAGGTAACCTCTGATTCAAATAAGCAATACATTTATGCTTCCAGTTTTAATAAATTATGGGGGTGCATAACTGCTTATGCGATTTAAATTAGAGCTAATATCACTCCTTTGGTAATTTCTTCCCTAACTTTGTATAGCTCTTGCACATGCATCACATCCCCTCTGCATATTTTTATGTTATCTCTAGTCTTTCAACAAAAAGAAGTATGTACATGACTATATACACATTTGTCCATAAGTCCACTTGTGAGTTACTTCTCTTGTTTATAGTTTTTGTTTAATCCAGATGTCCTTATCTTTCTATCCTCTGGGGTAAGAGTATACGTGTGCCACATGTCTATGGTTTCAAGTCTATTTTACTTTGCTATTCCTGATTCTGTTTCTTCCCTTCAATTTATTTGGTGCTAGTCTTGTGTTTCTCCTTTATTCTTTTATTTTCTCAGCTTTAAATTTCTCTTGTCATATCCTGTCTACATCAATTGTCATCAAAGGCAGTTATAGTTAAACTACACCAATTAGTCCTTAATTTGAATTGAATTTTTGGAGTTTATCTTTAATGTCTTCTGTGCTTGTTATTTGTTGAAAAGTGTGCTCCCATATAAGTTGACAGCCATTACAACTTTCATGCCAGACCATCTTTCGGAACCCTAAGGAGATCAAACCATATACAGTTCCAGCTCCTGAGCGGTGTAACCTACCTGCAGCTGCTATTCGTGCAACTACAGATACTGTTGTAATTGTTGATATGAATGCCCCAGCAGCACATGTCGCACAACACAAGTGGCAGCCAAACACCCCAGATGGCCAGGGGACTCCTTTTCTCTTTCAACATGGGAAGGCAACAGCAAGTTCAGGTGGTGGAGCATTGCTGCGCATGTTTAAAGGTCCATCTGGTACCGGTGCTGATGAGTGGCAATTTCCCCAAGCACTAGCATTTCCTTCATCTGGAATTAGAAGTTCAGCTGTAGTTGCGATCACAAGTGATGGAGAAATTATCACTGGTAAACAGTTAAAATCATTACTAATCTATATTTTCCTACTTTAGTTTGATTCATATAGTAATATATTAGTTTCATCAAGAAACTATTAACCTTAAGACAGCAAAAACCTATGCATTTTTCTCTGTTGACCATCTCCTGATGAGCCTGGAAAACATTATTTAGCTGTTATAACCTTGAACAAACTGATGCCAAACCTGGATAAGAAACATTTCAGTAAATCGACAAGCATAAATATTCAGCCAATTTTCCTAAACTCTGTTCTTAACTTATACATTATGGTCCAGTGACTGCCATAAGTTTTTTATTTTTTATTTTTGGAGAACAATTACAGCAAAAGCTTACACTCTTAGTTTTCTTTTAAACCTCTCCAACATGGATTTTCTTTTTTTCCATTAGCGATATGTTGTCTGAACTTATAGAATTTTGCTTTCTCTGGTTGTCCATTTAAATATAACTAATTGATCTACATTGTTGTCTTATTTTTGGTAATTTGAATTTTAACTAGGTGGACATGTGGATAGCAGTATCAAGCTATTATCATCAGATGGAGCAAAAACATTAGAAACAGCTGTTGGGCACTATGCTCCAGTTACTTGCCTTGCTCTCTCTGCAGATAGCAACTATCTTGTGACAGGATCCCGGGACACTACAGTATTAATTTGGAGGATTCATAGGGCATCTCTTTCTCACTCAAGCAGCATATCTGAGCTTTCAACTACCACTGGTACACCATCCTCAACTAGTAGTAGCACTCTAGCAAGTATTTTGGCTGATAAAAGTTGGAGGCGTCGTATAGAAGGTCCCATACAAGTCTTGCGGGGGCATCACAGGGAAATATCATGTTGTTGTGTAAGCTCAGATCTAGGAATTGTTGTTTCATGCTCCTATTCATCAGATGTTCTGTTGCATTCTTTAAGAAGGGGTCGCTTGATGAGACGGTTGGTTGGTGTAGAGGCCCATGCTGTCTGCATTTCATCTGAGGGGGTTGTGATTTCCTGGAACAGATTACAGCACACTCTCAGTACCTTTACAGTTAATGGAATTTTAATTGGTAGAGCAAACCTTCCTTTTTCTGGCAGTATCAGTTGCATGGAAATATCTGTGGACGGGCAGAGTGCCTTGATAGGAATGAACTCATGTGCGGGTAGCGATGGAGCCTGCAATAACAGCAGAGATTTAGATTCAAAGAAGCTTGGCACTGAAGATTCTGATCTGAAGTTGGATGAATCTGCAGACAGTAGTAGATTGGATATACCAACGCCTTCAATTTGCTTCTTCAATCTGCATACTCTGAAGGTATGGAAACTTGGAAAAATTGTAGCCGAGGATGGAAACCATCATCCTCAACTTTCTATTCATGTTCTATATGATGCATGTAGACCTATGCATTTCCGCACGTGCTTGTCGTCTTTGTTTTTAAAGTTTAAGAATGGAACAAACAGTTTCTTGAGCTAAATTTGATTCATTAGCTATTATGTCATGTTGACCTACCAGCAATTTGAAGTCCGTCCACTTTGCAGAAGTAGTCTGGGTTCAAATCCCATCATTGGTCTTGGACTCTTGTAAAAGTTACGTAACTAGCCTTCTGGTGTTCCTTCTTGATGTCTTTCACAATGCACGCATGGTCCGCGACTCTGTGTTTGGCATCACTTGGTTTGGCAAAATTGTTATATCTTGGTAGTTTAGTTGTTGAAAAGTTTCATAAAATAAGGGTGCTTTATTTGTTCTTCTGCCTGACAACAAGCACATTGGTTTTGTTATGTCTGATGGAACAGCAATTGGTATCTTTATTACCGTAAGCAAAAACTTTTTTTGTTCTTGTCCATTCATATCGCAACACGATGGACTTTTCATTTTTTTCTTGGTAATCTATTATTAAAAATTTTGTCTCAATCTGTTGTGTCATACATATAGGTATTGAAGGTTGACCGTTTCCTGCTTCACTAACGACAAGAAATGATTTCTTTTGCAGGTATTTCATGTGCTAAAGCTGGCTGAAGGACAGGATATAACAGCTTTGGCTTTGAACGTGGATAACACAAATCTCCTAGTGTCCACTGCAAATAAACAGTTGATTATCTTCACAGATCCAGCTGTAAGTTGATTTCCTCCCCTCTCAGTTTTCACGTCTCCTAACTGCTTTTCTGAAAAAGAAAGAAGGCAACTGGAAAGAAGTTTCTGTTCAGGTCAGAGGATGTCCTCTGGAATGATATCTTGCATTTGTTGACTAAAGATATATATCTTTGTAAAATGTTTCATCAATATACTTGGTCTCCCTTGAACAATTTATAAAAGGAGAATCTCTACTGCTTGGCACCATTGCATGTGTGTGGCATGTAACTCACAGTTGGTGCACGGGAGCTAGATCCAAGTATCCTAACCATTAGATTAGCTATAACTCTCTAGCCACATCTCGGCGCTGGTGGTTAGTCCCTTATATAAAAGACTAAAAGGGTAGGATTGTGCTCCATCATGTGCTGCCACCTAAATATGTCAGCTCCAACCCTGAAGGGCATATATGATGAATGATATGTTTCCACCTTTAGGAAGGCCCATGTTGATTTGAGTTCATGTGGCAATTCCTAGTAATCTATATACACAGTTAAATTTTTTCATAATTAGGATTCTTTCACTGGTTAAAAAAAATGGAGAAACGAAGTTGGAGGATACAAAATTGTGACCCAATATGTTCTGTTACCTAAGCAAAATGCACCTAACAGAGATAGCATCTCGCATCTAAAAGCAAACTTTCGATTAATTCAAAGAGAACTGTGTTATTTCCCATACAAGCAGATGACATAAAAGATGTAGAGATTGCATGTAATTTCCTATCCGTGTAAGGGATGTAGGACCTATTATTATGTAAGTGATATAAAGCATTAAATCAGTGTATTCATATCAATTTAAGGGTTAAACAAAAGGTCACAGGTCATAGTGCAAAATTATGGAACTAGTCGAATTTCTTTTGAATTTCATAATCCAGAGAGCACTTCAGCTTCTTACCAAGCTAGGTAAACATAAAAAAGGTGCTAAATCCTTATCATGTTTCTTCTGATGTAAAATATGCTTCCCTCATGCCACTTTAGTTGGTATAAAAATTATGAAATTACAGTTTGCCTCTTGAGGTATAGTTCAACCTAGGATTAATTCTCAAGTGTTTTCGATTAATTTAGATTCTCTTCTTCTCATATCATGTCTTTCATTACATTTTCCTGTCTTTAGTTAACGATGACTGTCTGTTAGCATCTCCTTGTCATGTCAACATAATTTCTTTAAATCCTTCCTTCTCAAAATATAGTTAGTTTTTTATTTTAGTAAGCTATATGCTTAGAACAATACATTAAAAGTATTAAACTTGTTTTTTGAGCAAAAGAATAAAGGGTTAGAATCTGGCTGATTCTGCAGTCCCTCCATTAATTTTCTGTTAATGGCCAGTAATTGGTTGGTGAATGACCATTCTACGTGGCTGTATGCAAATGGCCATTTGCTCATGAGAAACAGATGGAGGACCAAGTCCCTTAGGATTTGGGTGGTACTTGGTAATTGATACTTGATTCAGCCCAGCACAATATTATTGTGGTGCTTTTTAATGTTTGAAAGATGGGGGTATTCTGTTTCTTTACTCAAATGTCAACATTTAATCCAGTCTGTTGTTTGGGCTATATCTCATTTGGAAATAATACTAAATAGGGATTTTTTAAATACTAAACTACTTTGCCTGATAATATTACTGGATGGTCACTTTTGATAAATGAAAATTTGCCAAGGATCCTGAAATAGTGTGGAAAAGAAAAATATTATTTTGAATTGTTGTTATGACTTTCTGTTTATTATTTGCAGTTAAGTTTGAAGGTGGTGGATCACATGCTCAAGCTTGGTTGGGAAGGTGATGGGCTTAGCCCCCTTATAAAATCATAGTATTAGGGCATTGAATTTGGATTAGTTGGAGGGTTATTACTGAAGATAGTATTAGAATACCACTAGAATGAAAATAGAAAGGGCATGTTTGGCTGTGCCCCTATGTGAAAGTCAGATCAAATGCGCAATTTCAGTTCCTAGGCTGTTTTGTTGCGTGTATCATATGTATGTGTCCAACAAGCGAACAACCATGTGTATGCATGCGTCCCTATCTTCAGATTCGTGGTGGGTTGTTCAGCAATTTTTTTTTTTTTATTTTGACAGAATGGTAGCCTGGTTACCATTTGAGATTGATGAGCTACACTGAGGATTGAGCTATTCATTTTTGTCTTATCAATTTTGAGTGACATAGTAAATGGAAATTTGCCACTGCCTTCTTGTATCTTCTTCCACCACATCACTTTTGTAATTATTTGCTTCCTTTATTCAATCCAATAGCTTAAATGGTGAGCTATCCCCTTGGCTTTCCAAACTCTGTTGTAAAATTATCTGATGGATAAACAAAATTTTATGTGATAACATTTATAAATGAGAAAGTTGAAACTTTACCGTTTGGGTTGCATCTATTTTCCTCAGTAGTTTGTACTGTTGGTTATCTGTTTATTTATTTATTTATTTATTTTTGTTAAGTTGGTCCAGTCCATTGATTTTCTCAAACTTAGCATCAGCTAGATCTGCCCCGATAGCTTGAATTGCCAAGAGACTATCCTCGATGAATTTTAATATTCTTCAGTTACTGGACCAACAGAACAGAATCTTTCAATTTTTTTTTTTCAATTGTGGGTTTTTTTGAAAAAAAATGTTGCTGGGAGTTAAGAGTAGGAGTTTTTAAATTTTAACCTGAATTAGACTGCATGGAAAAAAAAAAAAAAAAAAAACTTATATTCTGGATGACAGAGATATATTTTAGAATTAATTTATTATTTCTTAGTATTTCAAATGTTAGATTAATAGAAAGTAATATTCTAGCTTGCTTTGGGAGACCACATTATAAAAGTATTCAGTTGAGGACACGCATCCGGTAAAGGTATACTCGATGTCAAATGGCTACCGTGGCCTGCATGCAAAATCACACCGCAAAATCCAGTACGATAAAATCACGTTTTAGTTCAAATATTCTGGGGTTCAAATTGCTAATGAACACCTGAATCCAAATTGAATTTTTTTATTTTTCAGAAAAATTGTATCTATGTGATGAAGTAACCAAAAAATTTGAAGAGATTATTAATTCCATGATAAAGAATTGTCAATTTATGAATAATTTTTCTTATAAATTTTTGTTTCAATAAGGATGATCTTTTTTCTTATTGGATCTAAAAAAATGCTAATTTTTAATGTCCCTAATTTAATAATGTTCTCATTAAAATAAAAAAAAATTATAGTCATATATATTATCCGGTATTTTTTAAACCGAATAGTAATAATAATCCTGAAAAAGTTTTTTAAAAAGTTTCCGTTTGGTCAACCCGGCATAAATCAAACGGGGTGGATCGGGTTATGGGTCCTTCGTAATTCCGTTCCGGGTTCCCCCAGTCCATCCAACATCGGCCCATAACGATGCTTTGGAGCCCTAAGAACTGAAATTCCAAGAGCGATCTAGCGACAAGCCTGCCAACTGCCGCCTGCGGCGAATTTGCTCTTCACAGCCTTTCAGGTTTGCTTGAACGACACAAGCACATAGCGTTTGTTCTTGGTTTCCCTTCACATTTGCTAGAGCGAGCAACAGAATATGGGAGGGAAGGGGAGGAGGAGAAGAGAAAAAAACTATCAAGCAGCTCATGGCGGGCCTACTAGACTCCCGCCCCCTCCTGATGCTTCCAAAGTCGACGCTTTGCCATCTAAGCTCCGTAGAATCATGTCTTTCACTTCACCTTCTCCTCTAGGTGGATTTTTCTCTCGCGTCAAAACCAATATCTTATTCATATTCGACTGCTCGGTTTGGTCATTGCTTATCTCTTGCGTCTGAGCAAGTTTATCTACTTGTGTTTTTAGGGTCTGGTAAGATTTCAAAAGGCACTGAGGCAATGAATGGAAAACGAGGTAGTGATGCCGTTAAGGTATCTCCGGGTTTCATTCTTATAATTGTTTATGATTTAGTCTGTATGTTTTCAAATTGGAAGAAATTATCTGTTTCTGTAGGATTTGAACTCATAATCTAGACGAGGATTCGACAGAATCAACTTTTTTCATGGAATTTATTTGAAATGGTATATTTATTTTAACTATGAGTAGTGATCCCTCATAAAATAATAATACTGAGCTTACAAAATAATGAAAAACCGAGTTCCTAAATAATTTGAAGTGGAATTAAGATAATCATACATAAGTTTATCAAACTTGGTGGAATTTAAAATGTGTTCTCTCAGTTTTACTTAGAATTGCCTAACAGCCGAATTTTTACAATTTTATGAGGCATCTTCACTCTCCCACAGTTAAAATAATACGTATTTTCAAAGAATTCTACGAATGAAGTTCGTTTGTTCCAATCATAGACTTTAAGCTCAAAATTTTGTAGGAGATGAAATTAGTGCAAGTGGCTTTCCTATTTATGGTAGTACATATCAAACCAAAAACCTTAAATGCCGCTCTTTCCTGAACCTATTTCAATGTGTTTTTGATGGGAGACTTATTAGGTTGATTTAGTACTGGCATTAATAGTTGGTTGAACATTTCATGTTTTGTCTCGCAGTTATGATTCTGTTAATCTGGCTAGATGCCACTGTCATATGTACGCCTTTGTTTGTGTAATTCTCTATTATAAATTTACCTTTGAGTTGCTGCCATGCTTTAAATCTTCATCTTGTTTACTCATGCAAGATTTGTGCAGAAAATTCTTCGAGAGAATCAAATCAGTTCAGAGACTATGGTGAGCAAAGATGGAGGTAATGATGAACAGGTAATGTCTCCTAAGCATGAGAATATTGGTGAAATTGTGCAAAATAATGGGGATGAAAAAGGAAATAAAAAGAGAAAAAGGAAGCCAGTAAAGGATCTTCGGTTTGAAAAGGACTTGGAACTATCAGACCATTCTAAAAGGCGAGAGCGGAAGAAGAAGTAAGCATATTACGTCTCCTTTTTCCTTCTGTTTCTTAGTCTTTCTATCTTTTGTCTGTACCTTCATAGAAATCATTATTGATTTTGCAACATTTGTTTCTCTTTACTTGTTGGGAGAGATCCTGGAGTTGCTTGGACCTGTAAATCTAAGTAAATTTTGATATAAGTGATTTTCTATGAGGAAATTTTATTTTGGTCTCATTTGGCGTTGGAGGTTGTAGCTTTCTAAATTAGCCCGTTTATTTCATGCTACTGTTGATCAATTCATTAGCCTTTCTTGTGAACTGAGATTTGTATGGCATCTATCTTTTAGATGTGTTAGGTTCCATTATATTGTGCATTCATAAATACGTTTTTTACATTTTGTTATCTGATTATTGTTCATTGTTCCTTATTCTTTAGAAACTATTTTTCATTATTACTGCCCTCTTCTTTCTTGTTAAGATCTATATCTGATTGAATATTCATGGAAATCAGTTAAATGAATTGGGCAAATAAAATACTCGAAATAGAAGTACAAAATAGTCCCTTGGGCTGTCTGTCCTGTATTCTGGACAGTGTGAGGCATTTTGCAGTGTTCTTGAAGTACAATTAGTAGTTCAACCAAAACCATATATACTATGTTTGGAAAAAATGAATTCCTCAGAAAAAAAGTTGAATTTATTTGCTAACATCTTATTGTTTAGGACATGGATAAAAATGTGAATTTGCAAATGAATGAATCAGACTTTTTTAGGGAATACATTTATTCCAAACATAGTCTTCATGGAAACCTGTTGAAAGGTTATAGACATATGTAGTTCATCTATGATGCTGGTCCAGATGATGGATTAAGTTCAAACTGGAGTATTTAGTTGTTGAAGAGGAATTTCAGTTTTAGTTATAGGGATGGTGAATATAAAGTTGAAAACAGAAAAGGAAACTGAAGTTTTATACACACACCCACGCACATAAATAGACATGTTTTTTGGTTTTTATGGTGGTAGGTGAGATTTTGAAACTGGAGGAAGCTGTGAAAGTAGACTGTAGTTCACAATTTCTAACACCACAGTTAAGGGAACATTTTTAGACTTTTTTATGGAATCCATTTATTCCAAACATAGTCTTCATGGAAAACTGTTGAAAGGTTATAGACATATGTAGTTCATCTATGATGCTGGTCCAGATGATGGATTAAGTTCAAACTGGAGTATTTAGCTGTTGAAGAGGAATTTCAGTTTCAGTTATAGGGATGGTGAATATAAAGTTGAAAAGAGAAAAGGAAACTGAAGTTTTATATACACATCCAGGCACATAAATAGACATATTTTTTGGTTTTATGGTGGTAGATGAGATTTTGAAACTGGTGGAAGCTGTGAAAGTAGACTGTAGTTCACAATTTCTAACACCGCAGTTAAGGGAACATTTTTTAAGGCTTTCATGTTGTTACCCATTTATAGGTAGTCAAAATGCATCTTAATGCTTTTCACATACTAATAAATTATCTGAGACTGACATGGTTAAACTATTGTACTCCTGCAGGTATTGGGAATTAAAGAAAAAGAAACAAAAGAAAGGGAAAACAGAAGAGGATGTGGACTTTCCTGGACATGAGAAGATCAAATTTGGAGAGGTGGTAGAAGCTCCACCAAAATTGGTTGTAGTTCCGAAGGTAGGATTGCGTTTCTATTATGCTACGACAACAATGAAAAGAAAAGTTTTGGTTCCAACAAAACCCGTTTTACCTTTTTTCAGGCACCAAAGAATGTCCATGATGCTTCGAAAGAAAGGATTCGTTTACAGGCTATTGAGGCTTACAGGGATCGGAAGGGATGGACCTCAAGACCAGGGCTCAACTTTCCTCCCCCTGTAAGTACTTGATTTTTTGTAAGCTTTTTTGTTAGAAAATAGATGAAAATTGAGCAATCAGAACGAACAGAAAATATGAAGGATTAAATTGTAACAGAAAAAACATTTAGTACTAAATTGTACCGAATATCAAATTTTAGAAACTAAAATAGTAATTAATGCTACTAATAAGTTTTTACATTTGTGTTTGATGGGCTAAAAAATGAGTCATTTTCAATCATGGTGAGGTAAGGTGAATTTTCAGAACTACTTTCAATTTTGCTTGGACTTTTAGCAATTAAGTTTGCGGTGATTATAGTTTTGATTTGGGATTTACACGTGATTTTGAATATGAAAGATTGATGTGATGTTTGCAGTGAACTTCATTAATAGCAAAGACCCTGCGAATTGGGGATGGTTATTGAAGATGTAGAAATTTTATTTCCAAAATTAAGATCCATTTTCAAATGAATTGAACTCCATAATTCATTTAGTCCAAAATTATTACTATAAAATAATTGGAGAATCATTAGCTTAGCTTCCAAAATATAGAAAAAAAGTCACATCCACCATAAGTAGTACGAGTCTACCCTTGAATATAAAGTAATAAATTAACAATAATAATAATAGACCCAGCTCAAGGAGCTTTATCCAACTCATTTTTTCGTAATTATACTACTGCTCCTTTATCACGAGAAGCTCTAAAGCTGTATCCATCCTTAAAAAGGTTGCCTGAAGGAGAGGAAAGTACTTGTAGATATAAGAGATTTCCTGCTTCTTCACCAGCTTTTGATATTTTATTTTATACTATTAAACACAACGTACAAATTTAACTGCATCTTCAACATCTGTGGAAGGCTCGAACATGGAGGCCTCCATCAATATGAAGATTAATCATGGTCCTGTACGTGACAGTTTTATTCTCATTGCTCAATCTGAACCGAAAACAACCTAACAGCACAGCTGAGAAGATCTTCATCTGCCGGTAAGCGAACTCTCGTCCTAGACAAATTCGTGGACCTGCCTGTTCACCAGAATAAAACTCAAACTCAATTGCCTCAACAAGAATAATCCGTTACAGTTCGAAAACAGATTAAATGACAATAATCTAGGTGTGTAAAACTCATTGTGCTAACCTGGAAGGCAGTAAATTTGAAAGGGCTTTCTTGCTGGAATTTACCCTCTTCATTAAGCCATCTTTCTGGACGGAATTCCTCTGCATCATCACCCCATATGAATTTCATCCTGCCCATTGCATATGGTTGGTAAGCAACCATGTCTCCTTTCCTCACATCAAATCCATCTGGGAAGGTATCGTCTGATAAGCAGAACTTTGCATCCTGCAAGAAGTAACTCGTAAAAGGTCAGAAATTTTCATGTCCACTTATCAGTTTCAACTGGTTCACATTTATAACTGGTTAACCCATAATCGAATGAGACTTTCATTACCACTGGAACAGCAGGATAGAGTCTAAGAGTCTCAGTTATTGCTGCATGGAGATAATGCATATTTTCAAGAGTTTCTTCCCTCATTTCAGCTGCAAGCTCTGTCAAGTTAGTAACTTCTCTTCTCTTCATGGCTTCCTTCACGTCTTGGCTAACCTTTTCTTGTATCTCAGGATGCTTGCAAAGCATGTACATGAACCAGGCAAGTGTGGTTGCTGTTGTATCTTTACCAGCTATGATAAAGTTCAGCATTGTATCTCTTATGTACTTTGGATCAGCGTCATTCACTTGCAGAAACCTCGATAAAATATCATCTTTTTTCATCTGAACCTTGCACATAACAGGAAAGTCAAACTAGGCTGATAAATTAATTTGAAATTGGGACAAAAGTTTAGCGGTCAGTTCTCACAGAAGAATCATCCTCTGCATTGTGCATCCTTTCCTTCTTGTTATGGATCAGCTTATAAACAAATGCATCGACCACTTTGAGATTTTTCTTTAGCTCAGCTTCTGATCCAATATTCAGAAACTTCTTCACCTTCCAAAAGATATCAGCATAGCGCCAAAGGGTTAGTGCATTTGAATCATCAAAAGCATTGCTAAAACGGATTCCTTCTTCATTTGTTCCGCAGATACTGTCAAGTTCAATTCCAAATACAACTTTACATATCGAATCCAAGGTCGATTTCATAAACAGGTCCTGCATGAACTACAAAAAGTTAGCTTTTATCAAATACCCAAAAAAGACTAACTCGTCAGTGAACATGAAAATTGAAAAAACCCACTTGCATATCAAATATCTGGCCGGAATTTGCCGCCTCAGATATCAGATTAGCCAGTTTTGCTGCTTTCTTCTGGAAGATGACACTGCTAAAATGTCTCAAGACCCTGGTTGAGAAATCATAGCTGGCTAATTTTCTCTGCTGTTGCCACTTGTCAGCGTCAACAGCGAAAATTCCATCCCCAAGCAAATCTGTTAGGATGTTGTAATTATACCAGCCCTGCAGAATATTAAAATAAGAAAAGGGCTACTTCAAATCCAAAAACTTATTTTTTTTTTACTTAGCCCAAATGTAGTTTAAAATTGCTTAGATTTCATTGGAAAACGCTTGAAGATAGTTCTGACAGTCTCTCATAATCCCTAATTAATCTTTTCTTCCTTTTGTTAACCAAAAAAAGGTGAAAGATATATAAAATCCCTAATCCAAGTGGTACATGTTCCAGGAAGCAAAGATACAAGAGCTAAAAAGAGAGGTACCTTGCCATAGTTCTGAAAGTTAGTTTTAAGAATATGTTCGACATTTACTGGATCTGCGGTGTAAACCTCATTCCTGAAAGGACCAAGAAGCCTGTAAGTCCGGTGCTTCGAAGCAAGATCAGTCATATAATGATGCAGCCTGTTGAAGTTAACAAGCTGGTTGAAAACTGTGCCGCCGATAGGATGATACTTCCTCTTCTTCTTCCCTTGGTTCAGTGCCAACTTACTGGTAAGACTTCGAACCGCGAAAATTGCTAGAACCACGGCTAACGCGGTGAAGACGTAGAAGAAGAAGGAATTTTGCAGGAACTCCATGGAGGGTCCTCTTGCCTAACATAATAAACAGTTTTAAGTTTCGGAATTGATTCTCATTAAATAGTTAAAAATTTACAGAAGAAACAGTTTTAAGTTTCGGAATTGATTATCATTAAATACTTAAAAATTTACAGAATTTAAAATATTTTATAATAATTTAATACGAAATTGATTCGTAATTAATATTAATATTTTAAATATATAAAAAAATTTATTTTAATTTTTATTAAATTTATAGAAAAAATAAATTATGAATAAAATTAAAAATAATTTTAAAAAAATTAATGAAATTTTAAGTTTGGGATGTGTTTTAAAAAAAAAAATGGAAAGAAGGAATTTTACAACCTAACCTCCGAAACAGTTTTAAGTTTTACAAGTTAATCTCATTATGTAACGGCCCCAAATTTAAATGAAAATGTATGTATTAAAAATCTTAAATGCGGAATCGTAATAAAATTTTTGATTAACATCCCTTACACAATAACAAAAAACGTACTCAAAACATGAATAAACAAACTGACTAAAAGAGATACTCGAAATAAGAACTATAAATATAACTATGAAGTCTTTAGGCGTCCCCCTCGCCGTCTTCCTGTGAAACGGGCTCGGGAACAACGTTTTCCTGATATGAAATGGTTAAATAAGGAATGAGCTACACCAGCCCAGTAAAGACATCACACTATCTCACCGCCACGGAAGTAAAGGTGGGTAGAAAACAAAAACGACCAAATGGAGCATAATTTATAACAAACTCGTTTATTAACATAAAAAACCTTTACTGTCCACTTACTTTGGTGAGATCCATGAAAACAACATGTGAAAGCCATAACATTATCATCATCACGAAATTCATATAGACTTTATAACATATACTTAACATGCCTTTGCATTTCAATCATAAAACACAAATTTTCCTTCTTTTACCAGCCTACTAGTATCCATGGGGATCCAAAGGGGGTCTCCGTTATACGTGAACCATTAACATTAATAACCTGATTTCAGGGCCGTCCCCATACCCCGTCTGGTATGGGCGCCAAAACCATAAACCTCAATACCCCGTCCGGTATGAGGGTGAAACGAGCCGTCCCCATATCCCGTCCGGTATGAATCCCAAATCAGACCTAGGGCCCATTTCGGCCAATATCGAAATTCCGGCACGGCGGTTCCGCCGTGCTCCGGCGACGGCAAGCGGCGGCGATCCACCTCGGGTTGGTCGTTTTCGGCCGAATTTGGTCCCTGCGATAAAACTACCCTAGGGCCCTCGGTGGGCCAAAAAAATCACGAAAAATCGAGACTTACCGGCGGCGGTACTCTCGGGTGCGACGGCTCCTCCGGCGTGAGTCGCGTTTTGATGTTTGGCTCTGATCAACCTGTAGAGAAAAGAACGGTGATCACAGTGGTATAAAATTTGCATCGAACGGAGGCCGGAAAGGGCCTCATCGGAGGCAAAACAGAGGGGAGCCGCAGCGGCACCGCTGGACTTCGGCGGGATTTTTCGGCCGATTGGCCGATGGTTTGGCTCCGGTTTGACCATAGACGGATTTAGCATCGAAAAACGAGATAGGGGGAGAAAATTTACCTCGATTGGAGGTCGAAAAATTCTCCGGTGCGGCGGCGGGTGGCGGCGGCCGGCTCCTCCGGCATCTGGTTCTTCTTCTCCAGCGAGGCACTGGCGGCTAGGGTTTTGTGGTCAGGTGTGGGTGGGGTTATTTATATCATTTGCCTTTTAATCTCAACCGTCCATCAAGATTAAATATGGACCGTCCGATCGCGATTTAATTAGATTAAATCTGGGCCGTCCATCGCGATGCGATCTGGGCGTCGTGCGCGCGTGAACG